AGCCAGAAAGCAAAGCCAAAACAACTCTGAATGCACCAATCATAGTTAGCAATATGTATATAGAACAAGGTGCACAGTCAACCTGGGCAACGCAATCGACCGTGGTCGTTGATTCCTAAACATACCGTTTAAGATTCATCGGCTGAACGATCCCCTTGGCTTTGTTTTTGTGTCGACTTGCTGTATAATTTATGCAAATCTCAAAAAAGATGGTTTGTCCACCCAGATATAGCGGCCAAGCCAGAATGGGTTTAAGACATTTCGATTAGTTTACCTATTCACCTGGTGGATGCGTAGGTGAAGCAGGAACAGTGAGCTAATTGGGGAAATTTATGGAAAGAGGATAGACATGAAGAGAGAAACATTTCTGTAATGCAGTACAAGACATGGTTTGCGCGGAAGATAGAAAAGAAGGATGACAAGGGATTGATAATGAAAAGAAAAGTGAATGTAAATATGTTGGAGACACGATGTGATCACCCGATGTCAGTATGGGAATTGTAGGCATCGGAATGAAAAAATATTAATTGGAATGTGTGGAAATCAGATGAGTGGGAGTGAGTTGGTGGTGTAGAAAGCGAAGATGAGACATGAACAAGAGGTATTGAAAGGATTTTAAGAACTGAATTATAAACTCTTTTTCCCCTGTGCAATTCTTTTACTACTGATTGTGAGTTGGCACATTGCGAAGTAAATTCCATTTACGGCTTTCTATGAACCTCTGCATGATTGTATTACTGATGGTGAGTTTATAGTCTTTTTTGAACTCTTCACGAGGTTTGTAGATGTGCTTTATTAGACTGACGTTTCGGCGGAGCTGCCTTCTTCACATAGTGAGTTTATGGCTTGGCTTGACGATGCGTAGGTGAAGCAGGAACAGTGAGCTTATTGCATCACCGAATTCAGAAGCATAACGGAAGCGTTTTTGAGATCACCGTGGATGTCATAGCGCATGAGTCACAATTGTGCACGCGTAAAACTCTCGAGGCATCTTGGATACAGGTCATCAATCTCAAAATGAATCGTAGGGAAGAACATTGCGCAATCACGCGTGAGCTACGGCCTTATATAAGGTTGGCCTTCTTGCAGCGACTTTAATGAGGATATACCCCAGCTGACACTGGTCGGTAGGTACCATCACTTGCTGGGTGGTTTCGAAGAATCCACAAAGTTACGGTGGTGGTTCTCTTTTCGATCAACTGCGTGCCCTAAGGGTTTCGAACTTAGTGGGTTGGTGGAGACGTTTGATCGGATTGTCACAGANTTTCAGGACATATTTTTGTTAAGAAAAGCGAGAAGGTTTTACTGAAATCCTGGGTTCAATATTCATATTGTATCGGTAGGAANAATCACGCGTGAGCTACGGCCTTATATAAGGTTGGCCTTCTTGCAGCGACTTTAATGAGGATATACCCCAGCTGACACTGGTCGGTAGGTACCATCACTTGCTGGGTGGTTTCGAAGAATCCACAAAGTTACGGTGGTGGTTCTCTTTTCGATCAACTGCGTGCCCTAAGGGTTTCGAACTTAGTGGGTTGGTGGAGACGTTTGATCGGATTGTCACAGACTGTTATGATCCTTTCAGACTTTGAAGAAGGCGATATCGTCGGAACGTCAGCCTAATAAAGCATATTTACAAACCTCGTGAAGGGTTCAAAAAATAATTAACTCTTTAACTACTACTTTTTACAACCTTGTCATTCAATATAACGCAATATAAATGATGTGTTTACATTCGTATTTATACACATCTTTTTACATTTTGAGGATACTGTATCAATTCATTTCGGAGCACTCATTCTGACAACAAAATGGGGGAACACACGAGCATTGGTTTTTTTCTTGGAAACCATTTCTTTCCAAAGAGTTCTCTAACAGGAAGTGCAACTCATTTCAAGGGCGGATCCTTCCTTCGTGCCAAATCAACTCTTTGAGTCTTCCGATTTTTCACTCCGGGTAAACACTGTATGAATCTTCTGCACGTTATATATCTAGCAGATCACACTTTAGCGATTTGAGGCCGAGTTCGAATCGTTTTTTATTTTTACTAAAGACGTTTGTAGCGCTTTAATCCCCAGATGGAGCACGTTCGATTCCGTGGTGGAATAATGATCGACTTTCCACTGGATGGGCTTCGGCTTTCGACTTCTGCAAACTTTTTTCAGTTGCAGCAGATTCCATCATTCTGAAGGTTGAAGCGGACGACTCTTCTTTGCAGCAGTTCTTTCCACCAATTCTACATAATTCTGAAAGTTATCGTCGCAAGAACGTCTTTGTCATCTTTTTGAACCGATGAAGAGTGTACATGTGAAAGAGGACTGTACTGAGCATTCATTTTCTGTTAAAAATATTAGGTTGATGCAAAAATATTGCGAGGTTTTTCACCAAATTTTATTTGAAAGAACGATAGAAATATCCAACGAAGATATGCTCAAATAATTTCTCCTGAACGCATCTACCATCTATGTTAAGCACTGCTTCCCATTTGCTAGGCAGTCGTATTCCTCAGGGGAAGAAGTTTCATTGCTTGGAGGCGATCCACGCCTTGACATCAGCCAAAAAGTCATCCACTTCGTCGCAACTTCTGTTCGCAAGCCAATTTTTCAACGAATGGTTGAAGTGATGGTCCATAGGAGTTTCTGTCGATGAATATGAGGGGTTCAGAAGGAAATCCCATCTCTTCATTGGCTTTGGCTGACTGTTCCATCGCCGAAAAGTTGTTGAGATTGCGAAATGGCTGTGCAACCTTCCAACCTTTCTCGAAGTAATAGAGCATTATGTGGCGAATATGAAGATGACTTTCAGGACATATTTTTGTTAAGAAAAGCGAGAAGGTTCTACTGAAATCCTGGATTCAATATTCATATTGTATCGGTAGGAAAGTAAGCGCGAAAAAATCCGCAATAATTATGCATCAATCTAATGCTTATCTTATACTTGGATGATGGCAGACATCGCCTAATGTGAAAATATTAGTAGCTCGGATAGCAGAGATCTAAATGAGCTTAGTATCTGGAATGGTCCCATCTTAAAGCAATATAGTGCATTTCAGTACCTGGTATGGTTTGTAGAGTTTATATGCGAGAGGAATCACCATGGGTCCTGAGCGTTGTGGTCGTTCCAATGGCATCTCAAAGCATAGAAGTACTAGGTGAGATTGTTTTTTTTAATTTTTCATCTATTTAGATAAGCAAGTCTAAAGTGGGAAGAGGTTTGTGCTGTACAAAAAAAAATTCTATTTTATAGTTCCTATTTCTCAGATGCTATACCTCTGTTATTCTGCCTCTGTGACGAGCCTCTACTGGCAGCCGATCTAGGCAAGCGTAATTCACCACCACCCGAACGCATTCTTGATCGACGATACTCATGCTCACCATCGGCAAAATCGCAGGATGAAGAGAAAGAGATCGGTGAGTTGGAAAGCTGCGCTCGAGTAATGAGGTTAAGGAACAGACCATCTCTTCTTCGACAGCCCAGAGGCCCAGAGCGAAAGGAGTATCTAGAAGGCACAGCGGAGCTAAAAAGGCAAGAGCTGTAAGCGTCATAGCACTCCCTCACTTCCAATTGTCGAGTGTGTTTATGTAGAACCGGAATAGTCTGCAGCGCGTAAGCTGCTAAGCGACTGGTCTTTCTTTTGAGCCATGAGTAATCTCACTTGGATTCCCCAGTGTTGCTCAACCACTACCTCCGGATCTTCAACATATGCTGGTCTGTAAGGTTATTTCTGGTGACGGGTGTTGCCGGTGAACCGTCAAACGATTTGCTCATTGCGTGGCAGCTGATGATGAGTAAAATCTTCTTTCCCAGGAATGGAAAAAGGTCAGAAGGGCCAGTGAAAGCCCTTCTGACCTTTTTCCATTCCTTTTTCTCTCTCGGACGCAGGTTCTAAAGCGAACAAAAAATCGCGCTACTCTCCAGGCAGTATGTGCAGTGTTATATAATGTTGTCGTATATCACCATTAAACTGCTGCAAGAGAATCTCACAAAATTCGCGATTATGGCTAAAACAAATGTGTCCTGAACGACGAGTACGGGTTGAAGTCTCGTTCGAGGCCAGAGTTTTGTCCATAACTCGGCAATCTTGTGAGATTTTCGGATCGCGTACTGCGGCGAAATAAGAACAGCTGCCAAAACATCAAGTCAAAACAAATCTGCTACAAGAATTGCGAATTTTGAATCCTCGTAACATATTACTATACGTTGAGAAATATTTTTCAGAAAATTGGACTGTTTGTTATATTTTTTTCCAAAGAAATATTTTAACAATTAGCCGGACGCATACCATTCGTCTACGATTAATCATTTTCATTGCCACCCGCACAGCTCAATAACATTGGGTATATGCCATTAAGCTCTAATTTCGCTTCAAGAGTACCTTCGGAGGTGCGCAGGATGGTAATAACCAAGTCATAACATTAATAAGGTCCTCGTTGTATAACAGACGATTGCATATGCATTCATCTGTTGTGTTACTGTTGAATGATTCGATAACAGAGGGCAGCGGGAACCTTCGAGGGTGTAAGGTTAGTTAGAGGTGAATTTCAGAAAATGGTCAACACCATTGGAAAGTGAAGCTCAAAATATTATGAGATCCAAACTCCGAATGGGCGCAAACAAGCAGAATGAAAAAGCAGATTGTAATAAGGTGGAGTGCTAATTGATATGTGAATGTTATGAATGAATGCCGTTTAATGAAAAATTGCGGAAAAAGTCCATAACAATGTGATCAATCCTCCCTGCAAAAAGCCTTATTTGGAAAATGAATCTTCTGAAAGGTACTCCATTGGACACCTCTGAGGCCATTGAAGAGGCCGTTCTCTTTGGAATATTAGGTCAGTATAATGGAGGAGAGTAAACTGGATGGAACAGCTTACCCAGATTAAGAGGATTTCCCAATTCCCGGGAAAACATTCATGTAAATGTAAATCTCTCCTCTTGCGCCTGCTCCTAAAAATCTGCAAGGTTTTCATTGCTCCCTCATTATATTGTGACTTCGATTAGGAGTTCATATGAAATAGTATTTGAAAGAGTATGAATCCTAATAGGAAGAATCCTTCCACCCTTCCAGGATCCGTTGATTCTTACCAGACTCGTCTGGGTAAGGGGGGGGGGGGTGGAAGCACTGACATGTAGACCGGCTAGCCACCCCATGTCTTTAATCATTGCATTGCAGTGATCACATTCACATCTAAGACCCTACTACATACGATTATGAAAGGGAATCTAGTATGCTTTCCAGAAACGGGATTGATAAACGTCTCTGACTCCCAACAAGACTTTACTCACCTTATGATACGATTGTTATGATTGAAAAAGATTCTCTTGATTTTTGTAGTGTGATAGGCGTTGTTGCGAACATCCTGTCAGTGCTTAGCCTTCTACTGGGTTTTGTGCGTCAGCCAACTTATTCCATTTTACCTCAAAATACCTTACCCGAACTTATTCCATTTTACCTCAAAATAGCTTACCCGAACCCCCCCCCCGGGAAAGGGTTACAATAGTCGCATAGATGACCGATGTTCTGACGGTTTTTTTGCGCGGTTTCCTTCAGTCAAACAGCTTTTTTGTATTGTAAAAGATATGCGAACCATTACAGCAGTCCCTTCAATTGAATGGGTGTCCACCACACGATGTCTGGATGTGTTGAGAGAGAATTATAAGCCGGGCTGTCTCTCATCTGTTATTAGCGATGTTGACGAAGTATGTTTTTTCGAAGTCTAAAACTTCAACCTACCTCCATCCTAGGCCTGATTTACATTTTCACATACTTTGGTTTCCTCTTTCCCTTGGTTTCCTACATGCACTTAAGCATAGATGTTCTATGATTCGGAATTCCATGAAATAGTAATTTCTTTTTTCCAGACAGTTATCAACAAAGCCGTGGTATCGGCCTTATATACGGCTGTGAAAAATGGTAGGTGTTTATTACTTGTTCTTTAGGTACACTGGTTAATTTTTATGGATGAGTTGATGAGGATGGAAGGGTTAATATTTACAAAAGCAGAAGTCGTGGGAGCAGAAAAGAAACCACCTGCTGACTGACTGCCAACTCATTGAAGCGATATTTCCTTGTTTCTAGATCAAAGCACGATTTGTCAGAGCCGGCTTAGCAGCTTTTACAATTTTTTTTAAGCAACAACTCGTCTTCGAGAGTTAGAGAATCGTGTTGTTCAGGTATTATAATGGATCAGGCTGTCGTACGTAGTATTCTGGACGAGCAATGTGAATGTGTAAGCTTGGAAGTGAGCGGCTTGGCAAGGAGTCTCAACACCTTCTGTTCGCATTTGAATGTTGAGGTTGTTTCATTGCAAAAGTTCATTCATGGCTTACTTTTTGAAGACTTGATGTAACCTTCAAGTCATTTACAATAGTGCCACCCGTCCGATTCGTTTTCCCGATCTCAAAACTAACTATGAGATCAACGTTTTGAAAGACTGCAGAAAATACAGAAGATGCGTTACCTAGGGAATGAGTTATGGTGCCTGACTAGCAACTTTGATAATGCTAGCAGATTGCTATTCGTCCCAGCTGTAATTTGCAACACTCATGGTTGTCAACTTCATACTGGCTCCATAGAATAGAATAGAATATCCTGTTAGCTGTTATTGCTTAATGCATTCACAACCTAGCAAATAGCAAATATGAATCGTAACTCCTAGAATATACGGTGCAGAATCCTTATTGTTACTTAGTGGTGAATGTATGGAATAGTTTCAAAATATGTTTTATCATCTAAAAGCTAGATCGCATAATGGCGATGGAAACCGACACAATTTTTTGCTTTTCTAGAGGGACTGTACTGCAGAGTAGATTTGCGTAGCATCAAAAAATTGCTCCTTCTCTTTCTCTTATAGAAATTACTAGAAACGGTATGATGATGGTTTACTTCCCTTCTCCCTGAAAGACCTGTAGTCTACATGAATTCCAATTGAGAATCCTGGCCACCAAAACAGTTGATTGATCTTGATTGAAGTAATCGCTCAATTATTGCGAACTGCTAACAATTCCCTAAGATAATTTTTTTATGTCTAGAAGTTCGGAATTCAGATCTTCCACATGTCTAAGCTACATCTTGTGGATCTGAGTGAGCCGATTCTAACGCTTTTTAACAATCTAACTTTGAAAACGTTGACTAGGAACGGTTTTTACGGAAGAACAGTTAGCAGAGTTGATCCATGCCTTTTGTTTGCTTTTCTGAACGACCAGCTTGAAAATGTCGTCATAAAGGTGTGAAGCTGAAAAATGATACGAAGTGAAATTGAATAAAAATGCAAAACGGTGATAAACAGTTGAGATATGCCGACTTTTGTTCTCTTTTCTAGAGGGCACTCTGCAGAGTAGATTTGCGTAGCATAAAAAATTGCTCTTTCTCTTATAGAAATTACTAGAATCGGTATGATGATGGTTTTTTTCCCTTCCCCTTGAAAGACCTGTAGTCTAGAATAAGAGAATCGGTCACACGTTTGCTCTACATACAGTAGCGCTCAAAAGTCTTCGGTGAAATGCTTTGACGCTTTTTCTTTCATAACTTTTCTCTGAATGACACGGAATTTTAATATGTCTAACTAGAGCATATTTCACCCTGCCCAACCCTGTTTCACTGCAAAGCTACAATATCCACAGGTAGAGTAAGGTTTTTGTTGCGGTAGCACATTTTGCTAAAACTAGAGTTGTTGGCGTCTGCACTTATTCGCACCTTATGTGCGTTTTTCTCATCTATTGTGATCGGCGTTACCGCTCGTACACTTTTGACATGATAAAAAGGAAAGAGANTAATCTGTATTTTCAGTCGATTTTGAGTTCATGCTCTTTGGAATATCTGGAACATGATCAGACTGCAGGTTAATAGTGGTGAATATTCACAATACATCCACGCTCCGAATATAGAAATTTCGCATTATTATATTCAGTAGGAAAGAAGTTACGACTGAAAAGCACAGCTGAACAACCATTTCACCGAAGACTTTTGAGCGCTTCTGTACGTAATGTATGTAGAGCAAACGTGTGATCCTACTAATAGCCCCATTTTGGCCTGGCCAAAGTTTTAAGTGTAGCTGGGGGGATATTTTTGTTAACCCAGACTCATTTTTTCCAGGGGCACCGTCATTCGAAGACTTCGTATTGCGGCGAAAGTAAAGCTCAATTGAACTTTTCGAATATGCTACGCGGCACTTTCAAGCAAGTTCCCGGACTACCGTACTTCTACTATACACCACAACGGTGCGATTTCGTAAACGTCATGTTCATTATGCCTATAGGGCGGGTTCAAGTTGTCTATGGATTGGTGGTATAACATCAGCCTTAAGCAACGCTCGAATATGTTACAGCAAAGAGAGCGAAGGAAGATTCCCTGGCAAGTGCGAGCTGGCCTTTTTCGAAGGCTTGTTCAGTGATCAAACAGCTCGAGGATATGATACTGCAATCACAGACCGGAGGCTAAGTAAGTTTCACGTAATGGCCATTGCTGATCGCAAGTGAACTGCAAGCATCTGAAGAACTCTCCAAGCAGAAAATTCTAGTGTATCATCGACATTGCTATCAGAACAGCTTCGCAGTGAATTCTGAACAATCAAGTCCAGCATAGGGAATTCATTCGTGTAGTTAGTTATAAATAGGACAGAAACTGATTCCATTTCAACTGAAGCCGTCTGAGCTGTTCAAGGTGATGCTCGTGTACCGGAGGATACAGTCTCGTCTACTGGATCACTGCGACGAAGCGATAGGCCGGTAGATCAATTCCGGTTGCGTCATGCGTTAAACGCGGAAAAGGAAAACGGAAAATATAGGAACGGCGACGATAAACAGTCAAGAGCGGTAAGAATTTCTTATTTATCTCACCGGAGCAGCTTAGACTAGAGAAGCTTCACAGAGGGAAGTTGCAAAGTACATACATCAGTACGTAGTGATGTTAGCACCGGCTATGGCTAGCCGTGCGTGGTCCGTTTTGAAGCTCTTTGTTCTCACTCGTGCTGGTTCTCTACCTTTAGTTTTGTTTGTTCGAAACTCGGCTGCTTTTTGACGAAGGGCAAGGGATCTGTAGAGGACGCTGAATTATACTTTACTCAAAAAGCTCTTAATGCCATTATTTTCTAGTTTTCAGCCAACCTTTCTCAGGGTTATGGTTTTCTCATCAATTGAAAAATGAGTGGCTGATAAACCATTGCAAATAAGTCGATTTTCAGCTTGGCTACGGTCGTGATTATCCGCTCTTCATCTACTTTATGTGTTCGGTTGAGTATCCAGATCGATCAATGGATACATTTCCTGTGACGTTCCTACCAACCTGCATCAAGGAAGTACTTCGTGGAGGAGTAGGGCAGGCTGACTCTAATATCGGTACGTTAAAGGCGTTGCGATTATCTGAGACAGGTTCGGTGGAACGCTTTGAGAGGACCAGGTGCGGCCTGCTTTGAGGAAATATTTTGCTCGGCCTGCTTTTTCCACTCACTCACTTGGCGATCATTGGGAAACTCTTCGAATAAAAGTTCGCTCAGGTTCCATTGTGTGCTCTAGCTAAGGTGTTATGGTTATAGTCTCCGCGGAAAACGCAGTGAGTCAAAATTAGCTAAAGACTTATTGGCTTCCAGATGTAAAGAGCGTGGTGGTCCGTTTGGATTTGTACGTGATGACATGGCCGAGCGAGAAGATCAAGAAAACTCACCCTCAAGACGATAGTGACACGGATACCGACGAGGACACTCACACTCAGCGTCAGATGCGATTCCTCGAAAAAATGCCGAAGAAGGTAATTTCGAATTTGTAAGGATTAGCGGAAGCGGGAAACTATAAAAGTTAGTGAGTGAAATAAGGCGGTTACTGTTGACGGAAATTTTCGATAGGGAACTCTCGAAAGCAAGCTATGTAGTGTATATACGCAGGTGCCCAGGAACGTAGTGTTTTTGGCATAATATTTAGCTCTGGACAGATCGCGTGCCCATACTGATGCTCGCTGATTGCCATGCTTTTTATTCTCGCGCTGTTGACCCCTGACGTCATCACTGATGACATTTCAGCCGTAGCTTTTTAGCGCTTGGATGTGCAACTCTACAATCCCTTCAGTCGGTATCGGTATGTTCTTAAGTGCCAAGCTGATATGCCAGCGTAGAGCCGCAGGAGCAGCACACAATTACAAATTATGTCCTATTATGCAAAACTCTGCTGAGAGGGGATAAAGAATGACCAGAAAGAGAGAAGCCAGTACCATACCATACCAGTGTAGGCTCAAGAGATCAGCGAGAGCAGCTGCCTACCTCACTGTAGCTTTTTCATGCTGAGTAACTCGATGACAGACCTCTGACGAGGGAGCTTCTGCATTCCGAAGTAAGAAGTTCATAAAACCGCTACTCCGACTTTTTCTGCACCCATGTCTGCCACGCTGACTACCGTCTTAAGCTGCTTAGGTATCTTAATCTGTCTGTTTCTTTCTCCAAAAACCTTAAATGTCTCCCAGTAAACTTTTGTGAGTCTTCCGCCACTCAACACGAAAACCTCAATAAAGAGAACAAGCTTGAAGAAGCAACACGACAGTGGAAGGTACCGGTATTCCCGACTCTCATCGACTTGAAGGAAGATAAAGCTCTGGTAAAAGGAACCCAGTCATCTAGGTCTTGCATGTCCATATTCGTGAGCTTATTAGGCTTCTACAGCAACTCTACAACAAGAAAGTTACCCATTTCACAGCGATATTACACCTCTCTAAGAAAGGTATCCGTCAGGGTTGCACAATTTTGTACAAGCATGAGGTGTAATGGGAAGATATGGAAGTGAAAGTGGACATTAGAAAGAATTCTTACTCTCTGGAGATAGCGTTAGGCCTATGGCATCGAAAAACAAGCAAACGCTTGACAACTGCTCATTTCTCTATTTCAGATTCGGGCATCTGATACGCATCCATGTTGAACGAACCTTCCTCTAGAGTCAATCAGGGGAGTGTGGTGACATGAAAAAAGAAAGAGCAATGCGCAAATGCAGAGGGAAATTGGAGTTTTGAGTTTTGAGTAATAATCGAAGAATAGGGTGTTGTCCCTTGCGTCAAAGAATCTTAAGTAGAGTAAGTTGGAGATCCCGTGGGATAGTGCGCTCACCTGCTTTGGAACAATTATATCTTTTTTCTAATTCCAAAATTATATGCTTCAAAATTTTTCTGAGGTGGTTTTTTTTTTCGATTTTCTGTTGTCTCGAAGGAACCAATAAGAGGGAAATAGGTATTTGAAGAATGCGAAAGAAAATGAATTTCAGAAGTTAGGGTGTCCTGAATCCTTTCGATTAAGATCATTTGTATTGCCTTTGTGATCGGTTCTGATTTCAGGAAAGAATGGTCATAGGGGAGTTGATGAATCGGCTGAATCGTCTCGTCGAATTAGAGATGGTGCTTATGGACAGTAGGAAATTGGAAATTACTGAGGAAAAGATCAGGAAAATTTCGGCCTATATTGATCACGAGTACACGAGAGAGAAAGCGGTAAGAAAAGGGGTGTCGGGTAAAATCACTAGAGCTTCTGATCGTACCCGAATTTCAGTTCAAGACTGGTCAGGTTGAGACTCGCCTGCGTCGTTGTCCTCTAGTGATACAGAGCCCTGAAGCGGTGAATCGGCTGAAGGTAAGTCTCGCAAATTAGTTTCCGACGTTTTATAAAAAGGCAACTCATCTTTTCTGTCAAGCTTCCATTCTTGGCTAACAGTGAGTGTTTCACCCCTTCAAAATCACGACGGTCTTCAAATAATGCGATTTGGTCAAATGCTTTACCAAATCCCCTTCACCTTGCTCTCCAATAGAGGAAGGGATGGTGTGGTGCTGAGCGCGTACTACTACAAAAGTAGTTCGGGAATCAAATATGTCGAGATCAACAGGACTTCTACCTTCTCCGGGTCGATTAAAAGGTTTCTCTGGGAGATGAAAGCCCTGCTCGAACATCGCCGCCCCGCAAGTCCTTGTATAGGAAGAATACCCTTTCAAATGCGCTCACGATTCTTAGTGGAAGTCGAAGGCCTGGGTGGGGGGTTTTGAACGGGACAGACCAACACCACAAGACTTTTTACTGGATTCGATCACCTCCACAAAAGTTCATATTCATTCCTAGCAATAAGGTCCATCCGTATGATAACCGCATTCAGTTTTACTATAATTAAATCATTTTAACTACGTACATTCACAATAGTCGTTGATAATATGCAACGTCCACAGTTGAAGTTGCTCATGCCCAGTACTATTTTTGGTTCCCTCTAGGATGTTAGATATACAGCCAAGCGAAAAGCAAAGAACTGATAAAAGTGCTTGCAGGCAAGGCTGAATCAGATGCATTTGGAATACTGTGTGATGCGTCGAGTAGAAGGATCGAATCTGTACTACTGCTGTCAGGTGGGCTGCATTAGATTATTTTTTTCTCCCAAGCTATCGAGTAGTAAAGCCAATTCAATGGTAAGCTATCTGAGGATTGATAATTATGTTGGCTTCATACAAATTAACTGCCCTCAGTTTGTCTATGCATGGAAGGCGGAGGTTTTCCGTTCACTCAACCGGTTTTAGTCGTACTTCCCATCGGTTTTCTGTTTTTCCTGTTGTGAAATTCATTTGGCTTATCTTCAAACTCGGATTTGTTGATGTCATTACCTTCCTCTGATGTTTACTATCAGATTGATGCAAGAAATCATTAATAATTTCATTTGAATAATCACTCACTGAAGTATATAGTAACCTCTTTTTCTATGGCAATCGTCCATAGAGTGGCAAATCGACTATACACTTTACTCATAAGAACAACTCGACCATTCTCTTTGTCCAGAAGAAGAAAGAAGAGGATGTGAGTCCAAGAAGCGATACACAGCCCCTGCGAGCCAAGTCACTAGATGTGACGAGCTTTACTTTGGCTAGAAAGTGCTTGAGGAGCCTAGAAATGTGGTAGTCGTAAGGGACTAAACCCCAAAAAAGATGTTTCAGTTTGGCGCTGTCATGCAGAAAATGGGCAAAAACTCTTCTTGGTCGCTATTCTTCGGTTGCATGAGCAAGTTCCTGGTGCTTATAGCTGTATATGGTAGCCGGACTATCTGGTCTTCAGGATCAAAGATAGCGCTCAAAGGACGCTGTCGTGTTGAGAGCCAAGATAGAGCGTAATAAAGGTCCGGAAACCGGGTTATTCGACGTACACTCCCAAGGTGGACGAGTTCTTAAGTGTTTTAGAAGCTGTAAAGGTTGCTCCATTCGCACCAAAATCACATTTTGCACGCAGGCTGCTTACTACAGTCTACTGAATGCAATGGTGCATACATTTGATCAGCTCGCTCAAGTACGTCCAAGTCTTTCCATGCCAGTTCTGTTGCCAAACTCTCGTCCAACCCCTACTTTGACTAATTTTTGAACCAAATATTTCGCGATTTCCGCATTATCTTCGCCTGTTTNCACGCAGTTACGGCGATCACTTCCATTACTACTCCAGAACCAGATACCCCATAATTACCGAGAACCGTGCCTTCAAGAGAAGACACCAATTGTTTTCAACTTGAAGCGCACCTCATTTTTTACCTTGCTACTAAAAATGCGTGGTAAATGCTTGGCGATTTTCCTTCCTGTTCGGCTTGGGAATAGCACGTTACAAAAGAAGAAGAGACCAGGTCTTACAACTTTCGCAATTATCGCGATCACCTCTCGCTTTATTCTAATGTACATTTCGTGTCATTTCCATTTATGTCAGATGAATATTCTTCTTCAAAAATCTCGGAAACTTATTCCTAATCATTTGTTTTGCCGGGTCGAAATGATGCAGATGACATTTTAGGTCGACGATGTTCAGGCGTTTGAGCGTTATTCAAGGCAGAACAGCGGAAGTGAGTTTTGTCATGGGTGAATAGAAGTGAAGTGGGAGCACTGTCATGTCATTCACAGCTGATTCGCATAATACTATCCTATGAATTTAGGTAAAAATGATGGGAGCGATACAAGCGATATATTGAGGAAAGACCAATTGTTCGATTTCTGGGTGATACTTATCATCGATGACAGTATTAAGTTGCAGTTTTGTCAAAGGTCAGAATGTCCATAAAAGCGTTGATTCTCGGATATTCTATTTCACTTTCGGATACTCAAATTCCCGAAGTTGTTCAAGTTTTCTTTCAGGGAAAATGGTTGTCACTACCGTATATTTGACCTTGCTTGGCGTAAATGCCGTCAGACGATTCGAGTTGTGAATCAGGTATGCACTACTGTGAAATTTACTCCCTTTGCTCACTCACTATTCGCAGCGAAAATCAACTGTTCTCCCAAAAGATTATGGGGATTTTGTTCTCGAACTTCTCTTGCGACACTGCTTTCTACTGGATTGCTATATGAATCATAGCCTATTTTTTTACGCGCTCGAACTTCTTTCTCTAATATAAGCGTAAATAGGTCAATAATATTCTGCCCATTTTGCTCGGTAACCTTTCATCATCTTTGGGTTTCCAATTTTCACATGCTTAATGAACTGAATAAACTACTGATCCGAGTCAGACGCCATACTACCCAAATTAGAGGCAATGAACGATCAATTGAAACAAATGATTGCTCTTTTCCCAACCCTCCACATTACCCTAGCGTCGACAGTGAAGTTCCGAAGAATTTGCCTAGTTCCTTAGAAGAACTTCAGGGTCCCAGAATCTTAAAATACCTGAAGCGGAGCATAACATTCTTCGGGGAGTACTTGCTGGAATATCGTTCGAGACCATACAAAAAACTTGAAAATTGGGAAGATTTTCGCGCTGCATCGTTGCAAGTGATCCCCATTTCGTCCACAATTAGAAATTGTAAAGAAGTTCTGAGTCCTTTCCAAAAGGTTTTCGAGGCAGCAGAATTTTCGAGAAGTAAGGTTTTACGGTGTGCAAGAAAACTAGGACTAAATCCGATATGGGTCTGAGGTTGGGGAAATGAAGTGGAGCGGCTTGTTTATAGGTAATCGAGCATGGGTGCGATAGCCAAATTGATCAGTAAAGGTCTCTCCGTTTATTTAGTTTTTTTTTTCATTTCTGTAGCATTTTAAACGTTTTTTTCTGGTTTAGGAGATGTTGTTGAGTCGTATGTTTGAACTGAGGGAATGTGATTCGCTGCTGATGACAGATGTGCACGACTCGATTTCGATACATGATGGGTCCTTGGATCGTAGTAATACTTCTTCAGGTACAGCTCAACTGGTCTGGTGATATGATTTTTCGCAAGTTTGATTTAGATCGAGAAATCGATGATCACCCGGTCATTCTGTTGGCTATTTGAACCTCTTTGGATCAGGACACTCAATTATTTCCAAAAAATATGTAGTCACTAAGGGGGTATAACTCTAGGACTCTAGGGTCTTCTGATCGTAGCCAAAGTGCGCGTGGTATTCGAGATTTTTAATATAAGTTCAGTTGTGAAATCCAATCATGATGTGCTTCCCCACAGTGGCTTAAAGGCTGCTGAATGCTTGAAAGGAACATTGATTTCAGAGAAAAATTTTGGAAGTGAATGGAGAACATGTTTCAATTCTTCCATTGGGAAAAATTAGTTGTCATACAGCATCGAGGACTACCTTATGCGCTGAATTGTATGACCTTAATAATTCTACTGCTACAAAATAACAAGTGAGCCCCACTAACTCTGCTATACGATAAGCGCAAGTTTTGTGTTTGTAGGGCAAGGAGGGTTGGAGCCCGTCAGATCTTGAGATAATTTAATGTGGACAATGGGTAAGGAGAGATTTAATTTAGTTTTTAGGAGCCACCCGTAGTCACCTTTATTTTGTTGAAAATTTTGTTTCGCTGAACCATAGGAAAGCAAAGCCATTTGTCTATCCCACTGAACGGATAGTTTCTGGTTGATACTTTTTTACTGAATTGAATGAATTGTTGTGATTATTTTCTAGTATCTGAAGATCAAGAAGTGGATACTCACATCGCTCATGGAGCACGGTTTACTTTCCCGCCAGGCTATTTTGCTTGTCCATTGCAGAAAAAGTTATGGTGAGTGAATTGTGAGTTAACTAGCGAAGTTAAAGGCACTGTTAACAAAAAAGTAAGGGTACCCTTTTTTTGACGGTAATAGGTAGAACTACTTCAGAATAAAGCGATAACAACGAAAAAGCGCAAAAAAAACGAGCAACAAAAAGTATAACAAAGGGACAAAAAAAGTGCTAGAAAGTGGGGTTGGACATCTTTCACATTGGAAAACGGCGGTTAGGGAGTGTTCGAGCGAGAATGCACGAAGGCGACGCAGTGTCTGCAATACAGACAACACATCGAATTTAACGGAGTTTCTTAAATAAAAAAACATTTGCATGCAATAATCTACACAAAATATGTTAAAATCTTCAATAAATTTACGAGGATAGTTAAAGAAT